CTGTCCAACGATCTTGTCTCGATACACATTCATAACGAGCTTTCTTAACTTTAACGTTCATCATATTTTTGATGCCAACAATTGAAAATATCTGAAAAATGTTTCTTTTGTCATTTTGCCACCATATGTAAAGTTCTAATGTGATTAATTTTGCTGCCGCCGAGTCTAGGTAATTGCGAGATGTATTTATTTACAAGTTCGACCGGTCGAATGTTATATCAAGGCGATTTTCCTTGTAATAGAAATTAAACACGTAGCCAATATTTACCAGAGATTATTCAAATAGTTGAACCTAGGATTTAATTTTGAAAAATTTAAAATTGAAATGATATGTATCGATGTTTGCATATTGTGGTAGAAGGTTCTTCTACAGAAAATTTCCTGCATGTAGGATATTGTACATATGAAGTATGGTTCGAATAAAATTTTTGATGAAATTTTTTTTGTTCAAAAAATTTCATAATAGGTCTTTTGTATATGATTATGATAAATAGAGAAAAATAGATATGAGAAATTAGAGATTATGAGAAATAGAGATAAAGAAAAATAATTAGTTAAAATACCCAAATTAAAATATTTTTGCAACGAGTTTTTACCTATATACTTATTCACATCTGAGAAATTTCATTTGCAACTCATTTTTCGAATGTTCCTAGTTCTTATATATTTCTCAATTTATGTCTAATCTTCATAGCTCGGTGTTTTAGTCCAGTCATTTGGTCATTTTGCCGGTACAGTACTCCGGGAATTCTGAAAACTGGTAATCTTATAGATTTCGAGGTGCTCTTTACGAAAATCAACTTTGCCACCTCAAATTTGAACGGCAAGTTGCCGCCATATTGAAAAATGACGTCAAAAAACAGCTTTTTTAAAATATCTCCTTTCTGGCTCATTCTACGATAAAAGTTCTTCGACAATATTCTTTCTAATAAATAAATATTTTCAATGTTAAATTAAGCGAATAAGATCTAGCAATAAATTATTTCAAATATTTTTCTGTTTTTTTGGTGATTTTTTAACGCTTCAAGCTACTTGGAGCTATAAGGTGCTACTTGAAGTGTTAAAAAATTAGCAAAAAAACGAAAAATATTTAAATTACTTTATTTCTAGATCTTATTTGCTCAATTCAACATTGAAAATATTTATTTTAGAGAGAATGTGGTCAAGTTCGAAGTGCTGTCATATATGGAGAGATTTGATACTAGGGCGAGAGCAGCAAAGACTTTGAGGCGGCCGTACTCTCAAACTATCAATTTTACAAAAAAACGGTTTTCTAAGGAATTATAGAAAATTTTATCTAGTTTAATTCGTACATGATACTTTTATCGCAGAATCAGCCAAAAAGGAGATATTTTAAAAAAGCTGTTCTTTGACGCCATTTTTCCAATATGGCGGCACTTGC